TCTTGCCCTTGCATGGCTGTATCTGTGGGCCACAGTCCCATAAGGGAGTACCTGCTCCAGCGTGAGAAGGACAATATTTCCTTCAGGGCCAGGAGGAGGGTAGCCAGTGTGAGGGTCTTGGTGTGCCCAAGGGACTCTATGGGCCAGGGGTGCTGTGGCCCCATCTCTGCCCATGTGCATGCTGTGCAAACAACAGGGGGATGCTGGCTGCTAGGGAGATGCCACTGCCGCTACGGAGCTGGAAGAGGGCAAACCAGCTACTGGTCAGGCACTTGACGGGCTCTAGTATGCAGCCTGCATGGGGAAGGGGTTGTGGGCAGGAGCTTCCCATGGCCTCAGCCCAGAGAGTGATTCCTGGTGGGAGCTTTGCACAGAGGCCCCTACCCGGGCTGTGGGCTAGATGAGAGCCTTGTCCTTCAAGCAGTATCCCAAGAGGAGCAGTGAGGCATGGTGCGTAAGAGCTGTTTTCTTTGTCCCCCTCCCCAGAGCCGACAAAGAGGGCTGCAGAGAACCTGGGTTGGAACAGTGAATACCCAATGGCTACAAATGAACCTGGCCCAAGTGACTTTGGAGGGGACAAGGAGTCATTCCTGTGGCTGGGCTTCTGAAAGGAGCACAAGGAACTACAAGGGCACATCTGTGGCAGGGCTGCAGCAGTGGGACTGGGTTGACTTGGGAGCCTGGGCACAGACCAGCAGCACAAAATGCTCCTGGAGGAGGACAGGCTTGAGGGATGGTGGGTAGAAGATCACAGTACTTGCTCTGGAGGGAGCCGCATTGTGACCAGGGCAGCCCCTGAACCTCTGAGTCCCACTGCAAAGCCTCCAAGAAATGCTCAGGACAGCTTCATGGATGGTGGGGGCTGGTACCTGGCAGGGCTAGTGTCAGCAAGTATTGCACAGGAATCTGCTTCCCCTTCTTTCTGATACCCGCCTTTGGGGGGCTGACTCTGGTCCCAGGGCAACTGTGAGTGCTGTGGTGAGGTAAGAAAATGAGTGCTTTTCAGAGAGAAGATGACTGGAGACACCAAGAGTGCAGACCAGAGGCTGGGCAGTGCTGTATGAGGGCCTTCCTATGCCTTCTGGGTCCTGATCCCCTCAGGGATGGGGGCAGTGTCCAGAGGGGAGGCACTCTCTGATATGTCCCTGCCTGTGTCCCACCCTCAGTCCCAGTTCCCAGCACAGAGGACACACAGCCAGGCAGCTTCCTAGGACGGTGTTAGGTGCTAGGAGACATGTCCCTCCCAGCACAGCACCAGCAGTGACGGTAGGATGCTAGAATCCCTTCTGCCCCTGTGAGCAAGAGCTGCCTTTGTTTTCACAGGCCATACGGATCATTTCCTCACCTGCTGCTGATGGAGGAGAGAGGGACACCAGCAGAGCAGTTCTGCCGCCCAGCAGGTAGAACCGTGAGGTGAGGATAGCAGAAAAATCACCTGAGCATCCCCGCCATCAACTCACATGAGTGTGTAGCCGGCTCTGCAGAAGCCTGGCTAGGGGTGAGAAGCCAAAGATCACCCTTTTAGAGCTGTGGCACTTTCCAGTGCCAGTTGGTGTCCCAGTATGCCTGGGGGAGGATGGAATGGAGAGGTGGTGCTGAGCCCAGGCTCACAACTGCTTCCCTTGGTTGCAGGATGGAGAGGCTGAGGCAGTGGCTAAGGAATAAGGCAGCAGAGATGTGCCTCTGGCTAGGGGTGGACAGCATGGAGCCTGCTACTTGGCAAGGCCGGTCTCGCGAAAAGAGACAGGAGACAAAAGATCCTGGGGAGGAAGACTCATCATCTGGGCCTACAAGACAATGGCCCAGGGTGCAGCTGAGGAACTGGCACTACACCGAGGCCTTAAGCTGGCAGCAGGAAGTCTGGGGTCGCTTTCCTTGTGGATAGGCATGCCATGAGCCCAACAGCATCCTGACCCCACCAGTGTCACCTCCCATGCCAGCAAAGCAAAGCACTGTCCCCACCTCAGGGCAGAAGGTGGAGGTTTCCTCTTTGGAGTCCAGCATGTCCTCCACCCCACAGTCTTCTTGCTACCTAAGGGATGAGAGCAGCTCCTGGTCCTCGGAGGACACAGAGTACATGGTGACCATCTGCAAGGGGAACTGTGTCTGGGACATGGGCAGGGAAAAATACTCCCCATATAGCTGGAGCTATTGGGAAAATGAGAGCAGTACTGAGGTCTGTGACTCCCTGTCTTGTGGATGTGCAATGGACCATGCCATGACCTACATATCCAGTGCATCCCCAGATGTCAGTGGTGAGACACACAAGAATCCATGAAAATTTGTTGTTAGTCTAATCAGTGCTTCAACAGTCTGATCAAAATACAATACATATTACTTGTCCAGTCACTAACACCTACAATGTAAATTACCCAGTTTCTCCCAGTGGTGCTTAATGATACAGTCAAAATGGATAAATCACAAATCTAATAGTATCTGCTCCTTTTTTAAAATCACTGAGTTCTCATTTTTCCACTCTTCTGAGGTCAAGGGTCCTTCCCAACAAAGTGAGTCTTCAGCATCCTGAGTTCTTTGCCAGGAAGAGTATGACATTTCTGGTGAGGTTTCTTCATCCTCCATCTTGGGTCCTCTTGGCATTATTTTTATGTGCTGTTGAACAGTCTGTTGCTAATACTCCTATTTTTTTTAGTCCATAAATCTAGTTACCCAATGATCACTTAGCTTTTTTAGAAATTAACGTATAGGGTATCATTTCTTTGTGCAAAACTAGGCTAAAGCTAAAAACAAGTTAGACATTAGTCTCCAAACTGTTGGGAAACTTGCTGCTTCAGCTAAACAAAGCTAAATAAGCTCAAGACACAACAAGTCCAGGCAAGCTCTGATGAGCCCTTGTATTGCTAAGCTAGCTCAAGGCTTCTGGCCTTCTGATAGAAATGGCAACAGGAAATGTGATATGCTATGGGACGACACTAGGAAACTGCTTTAGGCACCTTCTGGACTGGCTTAACATTTGGTCTGGCACAGAATGGTCGTTCTCATGGTTTAAGCTATTCATTTTGAGTTTCAATCTGTAGCATATGGAAAGAAGTAAGTCACTCTGAAAGGTGACCATGACATCTTTTGTAGAGAAGGGTTTATCACTTACAGAGGTACCTATCTCATTCCATAGGAAGACAAGTCTAGAAGACCAAGTTAGACCAGAAGTTGAATTTTTAGACAGCGACACCTACTATATTGCAAATGTTCAAGTCTACACAGGCAGTCAAGACAGTCTTTTCCCATTGAAGTTAAGTAGGTAGTGGCATTTATTTTTCATGTCAAATGGAAATTTTCACAGTGTGTTATATTATATACATATTGAAATCCAGTGAATTGAAGATCTTATGAAACTCTCTGTCATTGATAGCCTAAGGGGAAGATAAGTTCTGCATTTGTTTACATTTGTCATAGACTCCTTGATCCTTCACACTACTGTGAGTGGCAGATCTAATACTGCCATGTCAGTGCATTTCTTTTTTTCTAAATGTCATTTAGAAAACTGTCTTCTAAAATGAGCTAATTTTTTATGTTTTACTTCATTTTGCTTCACTTTAGTTCAGTATGAGGTAGTTGCTGAAGATTTTGTAGTGATTTCTCTGATTATGTTCAATAACAATATCTTTTCTGAAGCTTTGCAATCCCTGCTATGAGGCAAACTTTTCTGTGGAAGAGAGGAGAGTCAGTTAAACATTACTCTGAGGGCAAAAGCAGAGAGCAACCGCAAATGTCAAAACAAGATCCTACTAAAGAGCAAATGTTTCTACCATGTAGTCACTGGATTTGTATGAAGTCTTGACAGCAGGTGGATGTCACTACTTCTTTTTTGCTGCTGTTCTTGCAGTAACCCAGAAAGAGCCTTTAGCTCTTTTGAGCCTTCAATTCAAGGTCATGGACTGAAGATGGAACAGTTCTGCCATAGACCACTTGGCTTCTGGAAAAAGCAAAGTTAAATACCTTCTTTTATGAGGAGCCTTTGTATTTTTAGCTGAGCTCGGTGTCATTAAATGTTGAACTAGCAGTATATAGACAGCAACTATGTTTATCCTTGCATTTGGATTAACAAGTAGTTAAATTTGACACCAGGCCTTTGTGCAAATTCAGATTAGCATGGTTAAATATTATTCTCTTCAAATCCTTTTGATTCTAAGTGTACAAAATTTGAAGGATTGTGAAGTATTTGCAACTTCCTTGGTACTTTCTAATTTAGTACTCTTGAATCATTTTTGTGTATCATAGATCATGAAATTTGCTTCACAGCGAGGAAAATTGTGTTTTGTTTTGAACTGTTGTGAGTCTGAATGGATAAAAAGATGTAAACCACCAGATCTTTAAAAAAAACCGAAGTCTGGAAAATTTGAATGGCACAGAAAAAAACCAATGCTTTTAGTAGTTGTGACTAGTCCTTACATCACAATTGTCAGGTCGAGATGTACAGAGGCAGCATGTTGATCATATATAGAAAAGAGCAAGATTATACTATTAGAGGTATTGCTCACTCATGAAGTTAAGTGTGTGAAAAATATTTCTTTATGTAGAGTATTTAAGATATCAATTTGATAAACTGGGAAAATATACTGAGAGAACCAGGGCTCCAGTTCAAGGCAGTGCCCTTGCCGCCTGGGCTCTGGCTGCAGGCCTGCTTCTTTCTGCCCCATTCTCTGAGCTACCAAGGCCCTCCTGACCCCTCCTCAGCCAGGACAGAGAGCCACTGGGCTGCTGGACACTATGTGGCACCCTAGAACTCAGCTGAAAGGGCCCCTCAGAACAATGCCTGTTGGCCCCATGCTGGGGAACACATTTCTGCTGGTGGGAGGTGCCCCGACCAGCAGCCCTTGGTGCCTTCTCCTCAGAGAGGCAGGACTTCAGATGCATCCCTGTGCTCACCATTTCCCACTGCCTGGCTCTGGGCTCTTTCTGGGCAGGGTGCAGGGTGTTTCCATCAGCCTCCCCATGCCCTGTGCATGGAGCCCAGTGGTGAGCTCTGGATTTGGGCTCCAGGCTGGGGCCTAGACACCCAAAATGTGGATGCTGCGGTGCCAGAGCACTTCTTGGAATAAGGTCTTCATGCTCAGGTCAGTGCCTAATGTTGGATATTACCTTGGATCACAGGCATTATTTTTCCAACCTTGCCGCTGTTATTAACTGAGTTTTATCCACTGAACTCTTTTAATAACCAAAATGACAATGACCAGGAGAAGGGTGTGTTTAGATCTGGCAGAATTTAAAGGTGCTGATGTATAAGGTCCAACAGACAAGTTCTGTGGGATTTAGCTGCAGCAATTTAGGAATGTTGTTCCCAGGTGTCTCACAGGTCCCAGAGAAGAGTTGACAGATGGAAATGTGCACCTATACCTCTCCACTGCTTATAGGATCTTGTATCTTAATCTCAACCTCTGATGAAGATGGGTTCAGGGCTGGCACAGTAGCTAATGTCTGGGCACCTTTCTACAGTTTCTCAGACAATAACCTGTGTAAAAGACAGTAGCAAAGAAGTCGAAAGCGACTGTTCAGAAGGTCTTTGCATACTAATACAGTGCAATGTGTGCTAGGTGAGGATCAATATCAGTCATTAAAAAACCCAATGTCAGTCACTTTAATTTTTTTTTCACAACACTGAAATTCAAGACACTGTAAATTGGAGTCTCCTATTTAGAAAATATACACATCTAAATAGCATATTTTCTTATATTTTCTTATATTTACATATAATTTTGGAGGGATCATGTAAATGTGTGAACAAACCTGGACTTCGGATATGCAGATGGTGGAGGTGTTAAGCATTCATGGTCCTGTCAGGAGCAGCAGGAGATGGGGCTGGAGTCAACACTGGAAACAAAGCTACAATATGCATACAAGAATTCACACAGATATACAATATACATACAAGAATTCCAGATTTTTAATTGCAAGCTTGAAGAGTAAAGACTGCTCAGACTGTAGGTTTGGTATTGCAGGCTTTAGAATAAAAATCTTGCCATGTCCCTTTGCACAGAACACTACCTCAATCAACACCAAGAAGAAGCTGGAAACAGACATCGTGCAAATTCAGGGCGAAATGGAGGATACGATCCAGGAAGCCTGCAATGCTGAAGAGAAGGCCATCACAGATGTGAGTTGGGGGCTCCTTATCCTTGAGATAAGTGCCTTCTCCCCAGACTGTCTCCAGCGCTAAAATGGCTTTGACCCTTTGCCCTCATCAGGCAGCCATGATGGCAGAAGAGCTGAAGAAGGAGCAGGACACCAGCGCCCACCTGGAGAGGATGAAGAAGAACCTGGACCAGACCGTGAAGGACCTGCAGCACCGTCTGGATGAGGCTGAGCAGTTGGCTCTGAAGGGAGGCAAGAAGCAAATCCAGAAGCTGGAGGCCAGAGTGCGTAGGGCTGATACTTGTGCATGAGTGAGCGTGTCCCTTGGAGAGATACCAGGGAAGCTCCAAAGATGGGCTTCTCATTGTAGGTGCGGGAGCTGGAAGGGGAGGTTGATGCTGAGCAGAAGCGCAGCGCTGAAGCCGTGAAGGGTGTGCGCAAGTACGAGAGGAGGGTGAAGGAGCTGACCTACCAGGTAAGGCAGGAGGCCTCTGCGGGCTGACACACTCTCATCCCAGCAAACCAAAGCTTTTTCACATGAACTCCAAGGAGAAATGTAATTTTGTGACATTGGGAAAGCAATTCACTCTCTTTCCTGCTTACCAACCACTCTAGCCTGAGGAAGACCGCAAGAATATTCTCAGGCTCCAGGATCTGGTGAACAAGCTGCAAATGAAGGTGAAATCCTCCCCAAGCTGAGGAGGCCATTAAGCATCACTCTGAGTGGTGGTAAAGACATTTTCAAAGGGGGAACCGTGGGCATTGGGGAAGTGATGTTGAGCATTTATGAGTTGTTTTTTTCTTTTTATCATGATATGTTTCAGGTTTGATAATGTATCCTCAGGACTAATTAGGAATTCACAGAATAATAAGCAAACAGTTATATTTGAAAATATGAGAACTATATCAGATTATAAATTAACTTATTTTCAGATGTAAATAATCCTCAATTGTCCTTCACATGAACACAGCAATTAAGTAATTTCTTATAAGCTGACTAATGTAATATTTTTAAATTGTTTTGAGGGTTTTTTTTTTTTTTAAAGACCATGGTTTTATTTCATATTTCTGTCCCCTGCTAACAGAAATGTGTTTTTGATAAGCATGTTAGACTTACAGAAGTTACACATAATATGGAAAGGTACCTCTGCGAAAAAGTAGACTGAATTCTTAGAAGGCTGCTGTGCTTCTATTTATACCATTTCTAGTGAATGTGAGTGACCAGGGTGTGCAAACAGCAATTTAGCATTTCATGCTGCATTTAATGCAGATGGGAGGCCCAGAGGTGCAGCTCAAGATTGTTGGCACCTCCTAGAAGTGGTCTAGAAATGGTGGCAATATGCTAGAGATCAGTTTCCAGCACCAGGTGGAGTGATCATCCCAACACTTCAGAGTTCTCAGTCAAAACTGAGCTCCTGAGGAAAAATAGATTTCTCTTGCTGGAGTGCACAGTTTTTCTTTCTGAGGACTGGGCTGATACATTCTGATCCAGGTTAGGAATTGGCAAGTGAAGGAGCCGCAGGAGGAGGTGAGCAGGCTGTATTGTTTCTGGAATGCCAAACAGGAGATCAACAGGTCCTCAGAGAGACCCTGGAGGTACAAGAGCTCAAACCCTGCATTACATGGAAGGACAGATTGCCTGAGGCTACACTTGATGGAGACTTTGGAGAAGCTGGAAGATTTTGACATCTGTCATCAGGAGAAGGCACATTAACCGCCTACAGATGTACACTTATAGACTAGATACAGGGTCTGGTGACAAGTGCAATACGCTTGTTCAGAGGAGGCACCTGGGCCAGGTGAGCCTGACCCATGCTTCCACGAGGTCGTGGTGAAAATGGTCAGGCACTACTTTCTAAATAGGGTGAAGGAACTCATCTACTAACCAGATCTGCTTTCTCAGGAAGTTTGCTACTTGCCAAGGGCTCTAATCCAGGATGTTGTGGAGGGACTAACAAATCTCAGGTAGCCATCAGATTATTAACATTTGTTTCTCCTAGGCATGTAGATCCTGCTTTGAGAAGGAAGCAGGACTAGGTAAACTGCTGAGATCCCTTTCATCATGAGTTAATCATTGTTTCTGATACCCAGTGATACTGCCCAGAGATTACAGAGCTCTGGGGACTACAGTGAAGGGCATGTGAGCTGAAGTGTTGTCCTCCCTGATTCTGCTGATCAAGGGAACTGCTGGGGTATGAAAAGCGGCATTCTTCAGGTCAACAGCTGGTTATGTGGCTGGTGTCACAGACAGGCCTTTGGCTTTTACTCCTTTTTGTGAGGAACAAAAACTTCTGGGGAGTGGTGGATTTATCTGAACAAATAAGGTAAGAGCATATTTGCGAGTATGCTTGCTGATTCAGTGAGGAGGGCTTTAAACTAGGTTTATTGGGGGATGGTAACAAAATTCCCCAAATAAAAAGACAAATGGATGCAGGGACGAAGTATCTGCGGGACAGCATGACAGGGAAGGTTCTCACACCTCCCCTGAGAAAGCAGCATGACAGGAAAACCATCTTGTGTGTTTGTAGACAAACTCATACAGCATGGGGAACAAGCAGGAGGAATTAGAAGTCTGTGTACAGTCACTGCAGAGCTAAGACCTCCATGAGATCACAGACACAGTGTGCTAGCTCTTATGACTGGAGTGCTGTGTGTTTAAGGACCACCTCTACAGAACACAGGAATGTGCAGGAAGTCAAGCGGTTTTGCAGGAGGCTATATATTCTGAATAGAGAATTCCTGACTAAGCTCAAATACAAAAAGGGAGTATATAGAAAGTGGAAACAGGGATGAGGGTCTTGTAAGGAGTATAAGGACATTGCCAGAACATACAAGGATAGAGCCAGGAAAGCTGAACTGTAGAGGACGATTGAGCTAGGAACCACTTAAGCAAACTGGACATACAAAAGTCCAATAGACTAGACGGATGCATCTGACTGTGCTAGGGAAGCTGGCCGATGCCATTGCAATTTCTCCATTAACTTTGAAAGGTTATGGCAAGTGGTAAAAGTCTCTGATGACTGGAAAAGCACCCATCTTAAAGAAGGGAAATACGGAGGTTTTAGGAAGCTACAGCAAGCCAGCCTTACTTCAGGCACTGGGAAGATCATGTTCCAGATCCTCCTGGAAGTAATGTCAAGGTATATGAAGGAGAAGAAGGTGATTGGAAACTGCCAGCATGGATTTACCAAGGAAAGTTCTTTTTGGCATCTTCAATGGTCAAATGTGGTGTTGCTGAAAAGGAGACAAACTTGTCTCAGAGGTGCACATTCGAAGGACAGGTGCCCAAAGGGGACAAGCTGCATCAGCAAAATTCTGACTGACATTAGGAAAATATTTTCACCATGAAAGTGCTTAAGTGCTGAAACAGGAGCCCAGAGAGGCTGTGGAATCATCATTCTTGTGGATGTTCAAAACTCAACAAGTCCCTGAGCAACCAGATCTGACATTGGTTCTAGCCCTGTGTGAGTGGGAGATTGAACTGGATGGTGGTCTAAGGTTCCCACCAACCTAGAAGTTCAAAGCCACAGTCCTTGGATTGAATAAAAGTTGTTTGTGATTGTCTGAGTATTTCGTTCAGAGGTAACATGTACCAACAGACACTTTCTGTCTGTGTACATTCACAGGTATTTATTTTCTGTGAATGTCTTGCCAGAATTCAACAGACCTAGAGCATCAAGCAGGATGTTATTTCCACAGGTCATCAAGTCTGGGTCATCAGAAGCAGAATTCCAAATTCAACACAATGATATATGAAGATATTTAGGTGACCACCAATGGTTTATTTTTAGTTCAGTTCTGAAATCCATACATGGATGCACTGAATTCCTGATCTGACAAGTTCTTCTAAGATACAACATAGCATGTCCTCAATTTCCTTACTGCTATATGCATTTGGTTAAAAAAATACAGTTTTAGCATTATTCTGTAGATAAAAAAGAGTTCCATCAACCTTTTCATGAATTTTCTAGATAAGAAACCAGAAAGATGGAGAACATCTGTATTAAGAGCTTAGATAACAGCTGGAAAGTGCGAACAGAGGCTATGGACCTTCCCCTTATTTCAGGAATTCCAAGGCTACAGGTAGAGGAAAATGGAAGTGTCAGCCTTTCCATTTTCACAGCCCTCTTCCCTCACAGGAGGAGCAGTCCAATGTCAATCTCATCAAGTTCCACAAGATCCGTCATGACCTGGAGGAAGCCAAGGAGTGAGCATTGCAGAGTCGTAGGTCAACAAGCTTTAAGTGAAGAGACGTGAGCTTTATAGGAAAAATGAAGGAGAAGAATGAGAATCTAGAAAGTTATAAAATGACTAGAGAATGCACAGAATGTGAAGCTCCCTCGCTTTTTTCCAAAACTGTAGTTTGTTCCTTTAGAAATTTGTGGAAAATAAAGATTGCAGAGATTTGGCATAGTAAGCGCTTCAAATTACTTCTCTTTTTTCTTCTGCAATCTCATTATTCTTTTCTAAATCCTTAACTTTCTCTGTTGTCTGTTGTATACCTGCATTATGATGTATTCTTATATATGACAATGGAAAATTATTAAATATGTAAGTACATATACATATGTTTCTATTTATTCCATTATATACACGTTTTTATATATATATTCCATGTGCTGCAATACATGACTGGCAATGGAAAGTAGTGTTAATGGAGCATCAAGCGGGGAAATTACTGTTTGACACTGGGTGATTGTGAAAGTGCCTTAGCCTAAGCAGGTTTTCTGCAGTATGGTTTTTATGCTGTCCTCAATTTGTCCATTTCTTTCAGGGCCATATCAAGTAATGTTATACTGAGATCTTTTACTGTTAGTAGTTTTAACATTTCAGCGGGAGAACTGTTTGTGGGATGAGGGTTTCAATTTTGTTGGAGATTTCCTCACTGGGAGGAAGGTGGGTTTTTATTAGACTATTTTTATTTCATTATATTTATATCAAGCTAAGCAGTGCAGATTAAAGAAGTTTCCTGTGCTGGTACTTAGCATATTACACTGTGACATATCAGGTGATCCTTTTCAGCCATTCTCGGTGCTCTGCCTTGTCTGTCACATCCTTTCTGAGATGAACTCACCCAACCTGCCTTTAGTAGTCATGATGTGAAGAGGCCATGGATGCACACTGAGGGGTACTAATGGCCTGTGCTATGTGCCATGTGAAGGCATGAGTCGGATGAACTCCTGCCAGCCATAGCTTGGGGCACAACTACCTAAAACCTTTTCATAATGAGCATCCACAAAACCTCAGAAGGCTTCTAAACTAAAAAGTCAAGCTTAGCAGCGTATCACCTGGTTTCTCATACATTATTAAATAGAAAAACAGACTAAAGAAGGCGCAGAAACAAACAAAAGCTTATCAACGACTGGCCATCTGCCAAGAGAGTCCTTGCAGGCAGATCCTTGCATCCAAATTGGCTTTAGTTAATTCTTGTGTCTCTCTTCAGAACAGCAAGGTCCACCCAGTCCCACCAGGGTCCAGGGGGTTGTTCTTTCCTGCACTCCTGCATCAGGCTAGCTGCTGTTCCTGGCTATTGCAGCATCCGGTGAGCTGCAGGCTTCTGGCGCCATGCTGCGCCTCTGTTACCTACTACGCCCTGACTAGGTATGGTGCTGCTTGAGGACAGGAGCATCTCACTCCTCCAAGCCTGTTGCTGTGCTTAAAGAAACATAACATATATACTAAGAACAACTGAATTACACATAATCTAACAAAAGATGTTTTACAGAGATAGTAACAGCCTTTTCTAATATCAGCTGACATACCTTGGAAATGTGAATAACATATACCGAACAGCCTTACTTCAGCCTTTCTTCAGGATCCTGAAGAAAGCTTGTGTAATCTGCATTGGAGCTCAGCTTTAAAACCAGTTTAATGTGGGTAGATAGTGTAAGAAAAGTTCATCAGACCAAATTAAGGGTAAGGAACTTTGTTTTAATGAATTGGGGATCTTCAGAGTAAGGGTTAGTGCACACCTGTTTGCTACTGAGAATATCATCCTTTATCAGAAAGCAATTCACACACAGCTGGCATTCAGTTAAGGCAGGATAGGTGGGGAAAAGCATACTTAAAATATCTGAGACAAAGGAGTAGGCAGCTATATCAGTTTTGGCAGGAAAACTTCTCCAACCTGGTAGCAATGGTATGTCTACCTTTATAATAAGTGTTTTCCTGCGTTTGTGTGATATATTAATCAACTGTGTTCTAGACCTACTGAGACTGGTTTACAATATGACTAGATATGGGATGATAACAATAAATGTGATTTACAATGGGCCATGGCTTTGACCAAAGCAAGCAGATGTGTTAAGTACAGTGTGTGTGTGTTTGTATGTGGTTAAAGGAGGTATGTTGGCTATAAGCTATAATTTATATAGTTGTGATTTGGACTTCCATTGAGATGATCTGCCCACATATCTTTTTGAATAGGTAAGACTTATTAGGTGTACTTCTATGTCAAGAGACAAAATTAATGTTGCTACCTTAGTTACTTACAGTTGTAGGTTAAACTGGAGCTGAGAACTGGATCTTGTGGGACTGTGAGCAGGATCTGGTAGGAGATATGCTGTTTGCCTTCTCTACATTTCTCCTCTGGAACTCTGTAGATTGCTTTAGAGCATGCCTGTGCCAGCTCTCTCAAGCAGAACGGCAGCGTCATCTGTGGCAGAGCTGACGCTGCAGAGGAGTATGAGAATGGATGTTTCTGCATCCATCTACTGGCAGCAGGGCACCATTCATCAGTGCCACTAAAGAGCTGTTTTCATTCCACCAGCCAGACCGTGCTGGTTTTAGAATAATGACCTTGGTTTGAATAGCTTTTGGCTGGCCTTTTCTGCCTTCTCCAAGAGTCAGAAGTGGGAAGTTTGATAATAAATAGCAGTTGGCTAGAGCAGTATTTCCTGTGTGGATCTGAAGTTGCCTCCTATGGAAATACTGGAGTGTTCTCTCTTCGTATGATTAGGGTTTTTTGTTAATTCCTAAGAAAAAAAGTAAAATATTGTTCAGAGTATGGGAGGCCAGGGGTGGAGGACTTTCATTTTCAGATGTCAAATGAGACAGTCAAAGAAGCAGAGCACAGTAAAATAACAATTCATCCGTCATTTCTTCTTAGATCCATTACTTTATTAGATAATTCCTATTAGCCCTGGGAGGTGCAACTAAATATGAAATGTCAAACTCAGGTGATGATACACTGGAAATATAATCTTTGAACCAATGTACTGGAATCTGAGCTTTCTCCTTCATTTCCCGTGTGAGTTGGTTTGAACAGTCCACGAAGAAAGTTTAACTGTAAAGAATCATTTCCACTAATACCTGATTTACTGGTGCTGTAATGACTCTCTAATCGGCTGTTGTCAATTTATTAAGAGAATGGGCTATGAAGTGTGGCAGTTCATCTGGTCTTAGATACCTGTCTCAGGCTTTCTCTCCTTTGACTGTGCAAGGAGGCTATGTTAATGACAGAATCAGAAATCCGAATTTTAGATACTGGAAGCTCGAAGAGAATCCAAGCCCAGACTCCTTCCAGATGCATCCAAAGAGGAGGTTTGGGAACCTGATAACTTGCCAAGATCAGAGAGCATTAACCTTGGAGGGTGGTTTCCCAGGGGAGCTAACAGCTTCAAAACTGCTCAGTCTGTTTTATAACTTAACTTTTCATTCCATCTCGGTACACAAAGTATGGAAAAAGAGTCACCACTGTTTTAAAAAGGTTTCAAGAATGATTTTAAGGAATCCGAATCTAAAGAAACTGTAGCCAAGAATGTAATTACTGAACACATAGTAAAATATCCATCAGAGGTCCTTGGAGGCACCAGGAAGGACAATATATAGTTATTCTCAGTACAGTATTGCTCTTCACTCTCAGATGATTTGCCTTGTTACCAAACGCATGTTCAAAGAATACTTTGTCTTCCCTCCTGTGGGTCACTGGTGGATCTGGCTGCCTATGTAAGGGAATGTCTAGCATGAGAGATTCTGCCTGTGGAGCTAAACCAACAGGGAAATGCAAAGGCCAATTACTTTCCCACCAATAGACAGAGCAAAGACAGGTGCAAAGACTCCTATTTGAGCACCTGTGGCATCTAGCTACTCCCTGGCATCCTCAGCAATCTGTCAGGCTGTGTGGAAAGGGTACATTTCTGAATGGTTCAGCCACTTACTGCTCCAAACCAAGGCTAAACTGAAAGCAGTTAGGTTCAACCTAGGAGAAGTGGCCGCTAAAATCAGAACTACTTCCTAAATTAGCTGTTAGAGAACAGTACCTGTGAGCTGTCCTCTGTTGATGCTTGTAGTCTGTGAGCTATGAGCCCCATTGTCACCCAGCAGCAGGTCCTTTGGCTTTTCTCCACACTCACATTCCTTCCTGCTCTTTCACAGGAGACTTTTACAGGACCACATGCTTTGTTTATCTGCTCAACTCTACATTCAGACTCTTCATGATCATCCTCAGTCCTTTTTGTTTTGTCTTCCCCCTGGTTTTCTTTGCCCTTTGTAAATCTGTGTCCATGCTGAGTAAGGATCTGGTGATGGCAGAGAATCATCTTTCCTTGATAATTATGTCACCTGGTGCCCAAAATCTTCTGGTGCCCAGTGGTGTCTTGACTGGATGTGTCCTTCTGTCTCATGAGAACACATTACATAGGTTTATGTCTCACTTCTTTATTCAAGACTGAAATGAAAAAGAAATGTCAGGTTAGGATAGCTTTGGTGCTTTGCCAGCTATTTTATCTCAGTTGGTTTTGTTCATGATCCCATTCTGAAACTATTAGTATGCCTAATTGTGTAATTATAGAGGTAAAATTGTTAAAAAAAAACTGTTAAAGGAGAATTAAACTACTGGCCGATCTGAAAAATGCTCAACTTTGTTTTGCTTGTTGCGAAATGAAACTAAACACTCCTGAAGATTTGCCAAAGACCAGAGACATGAGTGATGCACCTGTTCCTCTTTTACTGTCAAATATGGTGTTGAATTTCTTCTGTGATTTACTAACATGTCATGTCAAATGGACAACTGCTGATCCAGCATAAACTCTTGATATGGAGCATGAACTGTGCTAATAAGAACCAGTGTTTGTAGGAAGTCCTTCTCCAGTGGACTTTTTTACAGACTCTTTAAATGTATCAGATTATCTGACTCCCTCTCTCCAGCGTCTTTTTTTGTTCTGGCATTTCTTAACTATTTGATCTAGAGTGATCATTTTAACCCTTGTAATATCTCGAGAGGAACTGAGAAAATATTTAGGA